TGGATCTCCTGACCTCATGATCCGTCCGCCTCAGCCTCCCAAAGTGTTGGGATTACAGGCTTGAGCCACCGCGCCCGGCCGACAGCTCAGGCTTTAAGCACAGTCCTGCCTCGGGGCCTTTGCACGTGCTGTTCCCTCTGCCTGGAGTGCGCTTTTTCCAGATCTGTACATGGCTCCCTCCCTAACCTTGCCTTCAAGGTTTGGTCAAACATCACCTCCTCAGGGAAACCCTCCTGATCCCCCTGTATTTGACGCCATCTGCCTTGTTCTTTTTTTTGTTTTGTTTTTGAGAGGGAGTCTCGCTCTGCCAGGCTGGAGTGTAGTGGCGCCATCTCAGCTCACTGCAAGCTCCTCCGCCTCCCGAGTTCAAGTGATTCTCCTGCCTCAGCCTCCTGAGTAGCTGGGATTACAGGCATGTGCCACCAGGCCCGGCTAATTTTTTGTATTTTTGGTAGAGACGGGGTTTCACCGTGTTAGCCAGGATGGTCTCGATCTCCCGACTTCTGGATCTGCCCGCCTCGGCCTCCCAAAGTGCTGGGATTACAGGCGTGAGCCACCGCGCCCAGCCCTCCCTTGTTCTATAATTTGCTTACACCCAGAATGTCCATTCCCTGTGGGCAGGTATTTTTGTCTATCTTGTTCCCCAGCGCCTAGACCAGGGCTTGGTACACAGTAGGTGTTCAATAAATGGTCCCTGGCTTGAATTACCATCTATTTAGCCCTTCCTATGTGGCAGGCATTATTTTAAGTTACATCGATTCTCATTTAATTCAGTGATTGGTGACATCATTTTTTGAGACAGGGTCTCACTCTGTCACCCAGGCTGGAGTGCAGTGGTGTGATCATAGCTCACTGCAGCCTTAAACTCCTGGGATGAAGCGGTTCTCCCACCTCAGCCTCCTGAGTAGCTGCAATTATAGGCGTTCACTACCATGCTCGGCTAATTTCTTAATTTTTTGTAGAGATGGGGTCTCGCTATGTTGCCCAGGCTGGTCTCGAACTCTTGGGCTCAAGCCTCAGCCTCCCAAAGTGCTGGGCTTGCAAATGGGAGCCACTGTCTGCATTTTACAGATGAGGAAACTGAGGCACACAGCAGATTGGTGAGGCCATCTGTCAAGAGAGCAACAGAGTTGTGATTGGGATTTGAACCTCCACAGTCTGGGCTAAAGAGCTGGAGAGTGGTTTGGGGAGGAGTGAACAGAAAGTGCAAAGGTCAGCTGGGCGCAGTGGCTCACGCCTGTAATCCCCGCACTTTGGGAGGCCGAGGCGGGTGGGTCACGAGGTCAGGAGATTGAGACCATCCTGGCCAACATGGTGAAACCCCGTCTCTGCTAAAAATACAAAAATTAGCAGGGCGTGGTGGCAGGTGCCTGTAATCCTAGCTACTCGGGAGGCTGAGGCAGGAGAATCACTTGAACCCGGGAGTTGGAGGCTACAGTGAGCCGAGATCATGCCACTGCACTCCAGCCTGGTGACAGAGTAGAACTCCATCTCAAAAAGAAAGAGAGAGAGGAATAAAGGAAAGGAAAGAAGGAAGGGAGAGCGGGAGGGAGGGAAAAAAGAAAAAGTCCATAGGCCCTGGGGTGGGAATGTGGCCATGTGAGGGAGTGGTGGCTGCTCACAACCCAGTGAGCAAAGGGGGAAGAAGCTCCCTGGAGGACCGGGGAACCACTTTTGGGCCTCGTCCGCCTGTCCTCATTTGACAGTTGACTTAGACTCAGGGACCCCTTGGAGCGGGCTTCAACCCAGGTCCCGGCTTCTCCGCTCAGCGCTGTTCGCCCCCGGATTCTGCCGGCATTCCCCTCTGGTGTTTGCTGTACACAGAGTTGACCTGGAGTTCACGGAGGTGATGAGATGGGGCATGCCAACTCATTAAAGCTCATTAATTAGTCTGCTGGCAACCAGCCCAGTCTGCCCTGCCACCCTGCCCACCGCAGCACAGGCCAGGCAGGCACGTGGCCAACCCTCTGCCTCTTTGTGCCTCAGTTTCCCTTTTCTCACCCACCTGCTCACTGCGGACATGTGCCCAAGTCAGCAGCAGGGCCTCCCCACTTCATAAGCAAGGCTACTGATGGCGACTAATGTTTACTGAGGACCTACTGCAGCCCCCCCAGGACACCTCCCTACTGTGGGTCCCCCCCAAACCTTCCCTGCATTGTGGCCTCTGCAGGGACCCAGACCGGCCCTCAGGGGTCATCATCTGGTGGGGAGGGGATGGAAGGTAGAGAAATGATCCCCGCTCCATAGGAGACAGCTAGTCCTGGGTGGGTATTGATTTCTTGCTTTGGGGACCAGGCTGGCCAGGGTCCCCAAGTCCTCCTTGGCCCATCCTCAGCTCTGGGAACCCCGTGACTAACAGATGGAGGCTCCAAAAGGTTTATTAGATGCTCCTCCTTGTCCCCAGGAGCTGGGAGTGGGGAGTGGTGGCTGGACCTGGACAGGGGCTCCTGGACCCTGATTTTAACCAGCCTGGTGCCCATGGGGTGGGGTTAGGCGTTCTGGGAAAGGCTGGGCCTGGGGGCTTTGGAGGGGAGGGCCTGAGTGACCCCTTAATGACTTTTGTCTCCCTTCCCCGTTATTCTCCTTACTTTTCCTACCTTGTCCTTCCCTACCTGCCCCGCCCCCCATGTTTCTCTGGGCACCTACTTGGCCCCTCATTCCTTCCCCTCTCTTCTGTGCCTCTCCTCTCTTTATACCCCTCGCTCCCCTTCCTGTCTGCCCCATCTCCTATCTCCATTCCTCCCGGCCTTCTGTGCCCCGCCCTCCCCCATCTCCTGTCCCTCCCTCGTTTCCTGCTGCGGCCACCCCCTTCCCCCCCC